GGCGGTGGTCCACTATGGTCGTCTCTATCGCTTTTCGATAGTAGTAATTGGGATGATTTTGGCCAAACAGGCATGGTAGCGAATCGGCAGGCTACTATTCTGGGCCACATAAAAGAACGATATCGCTGTATTGCAGAACTATTTCAAATCACACGATGAATTGGATCTTCGGAGCAAAATTCTTTCGCTGTGTAGTGACGTGCTTGGAGGCAAATGGGCTGATCTCCATCCGGACAACGTCTCAATCAGTCATGTGCGGTAAGATCACTTTCTGCTACAGACTTGTGCTAATCGATGATGGACTAAGTTGCCTAGTGCACAACTTCTGGTATAGTTGTATAAGGTAAATATATTTGTATACATTTTAATTTCAGTGGTGGTCTGACAAATCTCGTCTATTTGGTGAGCCGGCCAAAATTCTCATCATCGGACGATCAGCCGTCTACCGTACTACTGCGAATTCAATCACAAACCGATCACGAAAAACTGCTCAATGAACTTGTCGTGTTCACTTCGTTAGCTGGTGGGTTATAAAAAATGACTAGTACTTTACATAGGAGGTTCCCCGAAGATAATTGTCATCATTCTGAACTGTGAAAGATCACGTTCGTGTGGATACCGGTTTTGTAGCAGATGTGACTGATCAGTTGGCATTTCATAGGGTTGTATCGACATTTCAGTACTGATTCACGCGCTTACTGAACCTTAAAAAATCGTCAGTTCCGCAAAAAGTACCAAAAAGCAGTACTGACCTATCGTACAATGCCAGCGCTCTTAAAACAACAGTCCCATCAAGGTTCACACTAATGGTGTGGAACGATAGCCCTAGTCAAGAACATAAGAAGTGACTGAACAAAAAACTCACCTTGGAAAGCCGCTAGAAAGGGAGCTGAACGGCTTCGAAGTGGGCGTGGTTGCTCAGTCGGCTGCAATCCCCTCGGCCGACTTCCAACCACGCCCACTTCGAAGCCGTTCAGCTCCCTTTCCAGCGGCTTTCCAAGGTGAGTTTTTTGTTCAATCACACTTCTTATGCTTGACTAGGGCTAGCGCATCGTTCCACACCATTAGTGTCGAAGGTAAAAACCCTGCTGGACGAAGAGATGGACAAGGCGAAAGTTGGGCATGCGTTCTCGCATTGGGCTGCGAGTTTTTTAGTTAGTCAAGGTAGCAGAAGTACCACTTGTGCCTGTCAAGTCGCGCAGCACGAGCACAGTCCTGGCACCACATCTTGGCAACCAAAACCACTTTCCCCGGCGACGCGCCCCCCCCCCCTCACGCGCCGCCACACCCCCCCCCCCACCCTCCTTTCCATTTTCGCCCACTATTTTCATATTCACTCCTTACACTAATCACAGTTTTAATATTTACCCTAAGATACGACTGGAAGGAGCGCACCTAACGCATGCAAAACAAATTAGTACAGAATCGAAGAATCTGTCGAGGTTTTTCCTATCACCGCCCACAATGGTACCAGTAAGGGTCACCCAAAATAAGAACTCTTTCCCCGCTTTAACACGAAACGGCCTCCAACTCCCTCAAAAACTCCAGTGCGCCCCATCGTCGAACCTAGCTAGTTAAAGGACCTAGTGTATCTTATTTGGGCTAGATCCATTCCAGGGGAGTCAACACATACCCTTGATTGGCCATAAAAGGAATACTTTGGCCTGTGAGACTTGAGCAGCGATAATAAGAAATCTGCTTGTCATAGATATCGTAGTGTCCAAAATGTTCATTCAAGGCTCCTTCTTTTTCAGAGAGTGGTTCTCGGCCAAAACTACTGGAACTTCCTGAGCGCTTTGAAGATACATCCTACGACCCTGTCCGATCATCATGATGACGATTCAGTGAACCAAGTCTACCTACCAATTTCGAAGTTATACGAATAAATTTGGCCGCCACACCAATACTCCGAATTTACACGTTGACGACAACGCGCGTTTTGGGTTTTTGCACCGCGTGGGACCACGGCGATTTTGCAGGCGCCGCCGCCTCACATCAAATCCGTGAATTTTGAGCTTTAACTACGCAAACTCGGATGCAACAAAATGTTTCGAATGATATTCGATCTGTCAGATTTATCAGAATGAACAGCCGGAAAAGTTTGATCGAATTGACGTTTTCTGGCAATGAAAAGGCAAGTTTCAGTTGCTTTTGATGTAGTAAACCTCAAAATTATTTTTGACATGGTTGCTCCACTAAATACATGTATCTTGCCATATGTGTAGGCCTGTACTTACTTCTACTACTCTTTTTTATGACCAAGATTGTCAGATTATAAAGAAAACTGGGAATGAACACAATAGGGAAATTCGTTAGACTAGGAAAACCTTCGCTAAAAAGGAGCATATTCAACCATTCAATGAACCTCGCCGTGTCTAGTCACATTATGGTGTGGTCTATAGAATAGATGCAAAAAATTAGAAAAGAAGTAGCGCATGCGCGAATAAAATTTAATAATTTGTGTGGTGCCGCATGCGCTGCACAATGTCGTCAACGTGTTAAAGATCAGTGAACAAAAATA